GAGCGGCCACTGCACTCCAGTCTGGGCAACCGAGTGAGACTCCAACTCAGAAAAAAAAAACATGAGGTGGGCAGTAAACACAGAGGGAAGGCCCCACCAGGGCCACCACCTGCTGTGTGACCAGGCCTCCGAAAAAGCAGGGTGGCCGGGAGCCATGGGAATGCAAGCTTGAGGAATTCGGCTGAGTCCTGCCTCCACACTGCTTGTTTGCTCTGTGGCCGCTCACCTAAGTGCCCCAAGAGGACAGGACGTGTGCCATTTGGGTCACAGCCTTAACTCCAGGCCCATGCGTGCACATGTGTACTGCAGAAGCAGTGAGGGAATCGGAATTAGGGTTATGACCTAAGGGAAGTCCCTCAATGGCCTTGGCTTCAAAGTCCTCATCTGTCAAATGAAACTGAAAAACAAGCCTTGCCTTATCAACGCTGGGTGATGGAGCACCAGTCACAGCCCGTGAGCCACCCAGTGGGGGGAAAGGGAACTTGGGGGCTGCCTGGTGCCCAGGCCCAGATGACAGCAAGGAGGGACTCACAGTTGCTTTCCCGGGTTGAGAGAGCCGAGGTCCAGCTCCCTGTCAAACTCGGTGCGGATGTCTTCCAAGGCCTCGTCGTCCCCAAAGGCTCCCCACTCTGTGTTGATGCACATGCGTCCCTCGTCGCCCTCCACCAGGTCAATGTTGCTCATGTCCTCCATGTAACACGCATTGGTGCCAGTTCCTGGACGAGGGATCAGAGAGAATCTGCAAAGAGAGAAGGGCTCCCGGCTGGGCACGGACAGAGAACTCTTGACCGCCCGGGAGTCCTCCTGAACACACCACAAAGTGCTTTTGATCTGCCCCGGGAGCTCGCCAAGGGAGGCAGACTTGGCAAGCCCCAAGTTCGAGAGGAATAAAGCTGACATGTCGAGTCGCCACTACTCAGGGGGTTAATGATTTGCTGTTATGAATGGAGTCAATTGTGAAGAAGTCCCTGATGAATATGCATGAAAGCTGACAAAGCACACTTAGGAGAGCGGAAGCAATTAAGCTCATCTCGTACATACTTTTTAAAAAATCACCAACCCAGAGTAGTTTTTAAAACTCCCGGCTGGGTGTGGTGGCTCGTGCCTGAAATCCCAGCACTTTTAGAGGTCGAGGCAGAAGGATTGCTTCAGTCCAAAAATTCAAGACCAGCCTGGGTAACACAGAGAGACCTTGTCTCTACAAAAAAAAAAATAATTAAAAAAATCAACTGGGCATGGTGGCACACACCTGTAGTCCCCGCTGCTTGGGAGGCGGAGGCAGAAAGATCACCTGAGCCCAGGAGGTTGAGGCTGTGGTGAGCTGTGATTGTGCCACTCCACTCCAGTCTGGGTGACAGTGAGAACCCACTCAAAAAAATAAAAATAAAACAAAATAAAATTCTTTCCCTAAGCTACTTAGCTTCCTCTTTATTGATCCTAAAAATATCATTTGCTTTTGATCTGCCCCAAATTGTTCCCAGCAGAAGCTTCCTCCTTATCTTTAACAGTGATTCGTGATTACCTATGAAAGCAACATTCTATGATTCAAGTGCAAAGTCACTCCAAGGAAGTGCCTCAACACGGGAGTACTGGGGAATGACTGCAGATAGGTTCAATCTTTCTGGAATCATTTGGGATGATGAAATTTTTTTTTTTTTTTTT